TCCTGCACTGAGAGCCTTGGACGGCCACCTCCACTGCAGCTCAGTGTTGCTGACTGAACCTGCCTGAAACATTTTATTTCTCTCCATTCCTCACCGTTCTGCCCCTACCCAGCACCCTGCCAACCTGCCAGGTCAGGACGGTCTAAACCGGGGCGCTCTCCCTCGGCTGGCATGTGCAACAGCCAGACTCCCAGCCTCCCTGTCCTCCCGACCTGGAGGGACACTGAGCCGGGGGAAACCGGCATCTTGTGGAAGGAGAGGAAGGCGCACACGGTAACCACCCACACGTCCACACTCACGTGCACAAGTGAGGGGGGGCCCACGAAACAGCACACGTGGAGCCTCGGGACACCCCCACTGGGGCTTCTGGATCCCACCCCATCTACCCTGACCCCTCGGGTCCCCGGGGGCTGCTATTTTGGAAGAACTGCCCACGGACAAGGGCTCCAGCGGAGGGATTTCTCCGTGGAAGGAAGTCAGTGGTGCGGCCAGAGGGTGAGCGGGGCAGAGTCAGGCCTCTGACCCTCCCCCACCCTCGGCCTCCCCCCATGCCCAACCAGCGCACAGTACGGGGCTAGCGGCCTGGTCTGGAATCACGGAGGGACCCCCCAACATTGCTCTTGGGAGTCAGGATCTGAGCAGGAGCAGGGAGACCTTGTGCCCGGGGACACCTGCCGGCCTGGAGTCATGCTTAGTGCCCCCCTTCTACTCTCAGAAGTGGCCTGATGTGGACAGTACATTGATGAGCTCATCTACTTTCAAGAATATGGAATATGTTGGGATACTTGCAAAACGCGTTCTGTAAAAGACCTTAAAACTAGGAGCTTTGGTGCTCCCAGGGCTCTGCTCGTTGAGGCTCCCTGAGTCCATTCTGAGACTGATGTTTTTTTTTTTTTTTTAATTTTTTTTTTAAGATTTTATCCATTTATTTGTCAGAGACAGAGGGAGAGAGAGTGAGCGAGCACAGGCAGACAGAGAGGCAGGCAGAGGCAGAGAGAGAAGCAGGCTCCCTGCCGAGCAAGGAGCCCGATGTGGGACTCGATCCCAGGACGCCGGGATCATGACCTGAGCGGAAGGCAGCCACTTAACCAACTGAGCCACCCAGGTGTCCCTGAGACTGATGTTTTAATTTGACATTTACAGGGAGCCTGGGTGGGTCGGTGAAGCATCTGCCTTTGGCTCAGGTCATGGTCCCAGAGTCCTGGGATCGAGTGCCTCGTCAGCTTCTCCCTGTCCCTCTGCCGCCCCCCTGCTCGTGCTTGCTCTCTCTGTCTCACCAGCAGATGAATGAAGGACTGAGCAGACGCTCTAATTCGACATTTACAGGCGGCTCCTCAGCCTTCAGGCTTTATGTCCCTGCAGCCGGAGGGCAGGGGCATGGGTCATGGCCATACAAACTCATGGACATTGATGGGCCCGCGGTGACTCACCCTCAGGCCGGGCACTATGGCTCCCGGCCGTGTCTGCAAGTACCTGCCGGGAGCAAGGAAGGAGCAACCATGAGAGCAGCTTCCCGGTCCTGGAAGAAACAGCCCAGGAAGTAAGACCTGCACGACCCCAGGCCGGGATCGCCTCGCCAGCCCTCCAGCCTCCCTGGGGCTTCAGTGAGACCAACAGGTGAACGTGCTTTTCCTGAGACTTGCTCCCTCTAACTTTCCATCGGGACATGGTTTTAGACTTCCAGAAGTGTTGTGAGAGCAGCAGCTCCGCGACTGCAGGGGTCGCTCTGCCTCCCTTGCTCCTTGGTGCTCACACGGGGTGGACGCCTCAGCGCCCCGCACTTCGGGGGCTGCCGTCTGTTCCTGTTGTTGCCTTGACGCTCACTGTCGCAGGTTTAGGCAGTGTCCCCAGGCCCCTAGACGCGGCCCTCTCCGCTGCAGCTTTCCCTCTTTCCGGGGAGCCCCGGTTCCCTTCAGCGCAGAACGGCAGAGGCTGCATTTCTGGTGTGTGCGTCGCGAGTCTCAAAGCAATGCGTGCTTGCCAAGACGTCGACGGGGCCGCCTGCGCGAAAGCCGGACGGGGGCTGGGGAGGCCTCTGCTCCGAAGCCCAGGGTCGCTCTGCCCTGCTGACTCAGGCCGGTCGGGCAAGCAGGCCAGCACCGCCACCGATGAGCTATTTGTGCAAAGAAAGTCGAGCACAAATCTGAGCAGACCCTTTGATCTGGTTACCAGCTCACGGGAATAGCAGGATAGACGGGCATGGTGAGGGCTCCACCGGGCGAGGGGAGGAAGCAGACAGGAATGGAAAGGTGGGGAGACCTGAAAGTTGGAGGAGACTCAGAGACAGTTACAAACACTCATGAGGCGGCCGGAGGGACGCACACTCCGACCCAGCATCTTAGTGATATTTAAGTAAACTCGTTGAGTTTTTTTAGATGTGAGAGTTTATTGCTGTTGACTTAAACGAAAAAGAGCCCTTAACTTTTAGAGACAAATCCTGAAATATTTACGGATGAGACACTGTTACCTCTGGAATTTGGAATTTGCCTCAGAAAAAGCCAAGAAATGGGGCACTTGGGTGGCTCAGTGGGTTGAGCCGCTGCCTTTTCTCAGGTCATGATCTCAGGGTCCTGGGATCGAGCCCCACATCGGGCTCTCTGCTCAGCAGGGAGCCTGCTTCCTCCTCTCTCTCTGCCTGCCTCTCTGCCTGCTTGTGATCTCTGTCAAATAAATAAATAAAATCTTGTAAAAAAGAAAGAAAGAAAGAAAGAAAGAAAGAAAGAAAGAAAGAAAGAAAGAAAGAAAGAGCGAGCCAAGAAGGAGCATGGCCTGCAGGCAGCCGCGGCGGCATACATGGAGCAGGAAGGGCCCCGGTCACAGCTGGACACCAGGCGCACGGTGCAGTCCGTTGGGCCATCCCTCCTCCTCCATACGTTCGAGGCGTGAGCACACGCACTGAGATGTGTGGTGCAGTGAACAGACACATGCACCGTCGTGGTAAGATGTGTAGACGCCACTGCCAGGCTGTGTCTCCAAGACAGCATGTCCACGGTACAGAGGGTTTCTGGGTGGTGTCCACATCTGCATGGCCAGATGAAACCCAGCAAGTTGGCTTGCTCAGGGGCTTTGTGCCCGAGTCCCGGGTTCAGGCCAGGCTCTGCCTGTCAGCCCGGTGCTCCCCGAGCTTGGGAGAGGTAGACACAGGGGGTCTCCATGGAACAGCGCCACATGCGTCTCCCTGTCCACAGGCCACCAGAGGCTTTCCAAAGCACAAAATCAAGCGTGTCAACCCTGGTCAAACCCGGCAAAGCGTCCGACTGCTTCTGGCATCAAGGTCAAGATTCTTCACTTGGTTCATCAGGGATTTGCATAGACTCGGACCCGGACTGTCTCTCTTTCCTCCATCACTTCAGCTCCAGGCACACTGGCCGCTGGCTCCCAGCCCCCCACCCTCCCTGAGGCTGGGACCCTGGACGTGATTTCCCATCGACTGGACACCCCACGGTCTAGCCAACTCTTCCTCCACACGCCAGCCTCCAGGGAGCCCTCTGGAAACTCCAGACTGGGGTGCCTCTACCTGTCACCCTGTTTTCGGGGTAACTTGACAGAGCCGGGCAGGGCCAGTCCACTTCTGAGAGTAGAAGGGGGGCACTAAGCATGACTCCAGGCCGGCAGGTGTCCCCGGGCACAAGGTCTCCCTGCTCCTGCTCAGATCCTGACTCCCAAGAGCAATGTTGGGGGGTCCCTCCGTGATTCCAGACCAGGCCGCTAGCCCCGTACTGTGCGCTGGTTGGGCATGGGGGGAGGCCGAGGGTGGGGGAGGGTCAGAGGCCTGACTCTGCCCCGCTCACCCTCTGGCCGCACCACTGACTTCCTTCCACGGAGAAATCCCTCCGCTGGAGCCCTTGTCCGTGGGCAGTTCTTCCAAAATAGCAGCCCCCGGGGACGCGAGGGGTCAGGGTAGATGGGGTGGGATCCAGAAGCCCCAGTAGGGGTGTCCCGAGGCTCCACGTGTGCTGTTTCATGGGCGCCCCCTCACTTGTGCACGTGAGTGTGGACGTGTGGGTGGTTACCGTGTGCGCCTTCCTCTCCTCCCACAAGATGCCACATTTCCAACTGTCCCATAAGCTCCGGGGGTGGGAGGCTTATCGCCATCGCTGGACAGAGGCAACAGTGGGCCACCACGTTCTCCCTTTCCTTAGGCCAGGAAGTTCTGTTCCCCTGCCCGCTCCCCTCTGACCCCAGAAATAAGCCACCTGTCCCAACACGGACTTGTCATCTTAGGGAGCTGAGAGTGGGCCCTCACCCTTTGGAACCACCAAACCACACCAGTGAGGGGGTTCATTAAGTCTCGGAGACCCGCTCACAATAAGAAGCTGAGTTTGTGACCACGAATAATGGGTGAATGAACTGGGGTCTGGAGCCAGACTTCCCAGCGACAAACATGGACACTGCCACGCACAGACCTGAGCAGGGCCCGCACGGCCACAGCCCTCAGCCCCCTCAGCTGTGAGAGGCAGGAACACCACCGGCTCCCGGGCAGCCCTGGGAGGAGGGAGCACCCTGGGGCGGGCTGCCGGCACTCAGTATCTTACTGCTAGCTGTCCCCCCACAGCTGCTGAGTTAGAAGGCAACTAACTCTTTTGAATTGACTGGAAGTAACCCATAAACCAATGGACAAATAAGTATTATTCTGAGACAAAGAGCCTTTTCCACGGCAATACACAAGAGTCTCATGGGTATTTGATCCCAAATGAGGCTTTGCTCCAGTCCCATAAAGACAGAAGGCTCCAAAAGAAGGTGACCAGCTCTGAGGGTTCTTGGCACCCATCAAATGCGTGTGCCCGTGACACTCCCAGGGAATTCAGGGGCCACACTGGGTCTCTCCTGGGGCTGCCCTGATGGTGCTGAGAGCTAGGCAGAGGAGTGAGCAAAGCTGCTTTCCATCAGCCCAGCGCAGCCAGGCAGAGATGTTTCAAAAGACAGTCGGAAGCCATTTCTGGCGTCGGGGAGTGAGCCCCGGTCTGCTGCAGGAGCGCTGAGGAAACACACCTCTCAACGTCATTCATAATATTTATTTTGGAAAAATATCTTAAAAAGGATTTTCTTCATTAACAAAACAGTAAAAACCTCCAATAGCATCTGCACAATATCCCATAAATACATTTATATACAAAAAATATATAGAACCGAAGTGCCTTTGTACATATTTACCAAAAATTTAAATTATAAAAAATGAACATCACAAAATACTCAAGCTTTACAGATATCATGAAAAATATTTTTACAAGTCCAAAAAATAACACACATTTTTTCCACCTAGAAAAAACACCTTTTAGTATCAAAAAGGACGATGAAGGCAGCGTTCGCGATTCTAACTCAAGAACAGACTGGCTCGTAAGTATCCAAGACACACACCTCGGGCAGCTCACGCTTCCTATGCAGCAAGTCAGTCCGTCCACTTAAATATATACCTCTTAAAAGCAACCGTCCCTAGTGCAATGGAAACACCCGAAAAGGCAGTGCAACAGGCCCCCTCGGACGCTGCGGAGGGCAGCCCGGGCGGCGTGCGGCCGACCTCCGGGAGAGAACCGGCTCCGTCCGGATCGGCTCCCAGCAGCAGTCCGTGGGTCTCCCTTTCCTCTTTCAAGCAGCATCCACTGGGGCATATATCCTTGGAATTTTATTTATTTTAAGAGAAACGGGAATTTTGCCATATCACTTCCATTTTACACCTAGAGGGGCCCACAAGACAGAATGGGAGGTTAGTTCCAGAGAGAGGTCACTATCCTCTGACCTCTCCACCCGCTTCCGTCCTGAGGCCGGGCCCGGGGCGCCGCCGTGCCTCGCACCGCGCACTGACCTCAGTCGCTATGACACACTCATCTTTCTCCTCCGAGATGACGTACACCGACTGGTACTTTGTGTCTTTTGCAGCGGGATACATGGAGTCTGGCCTCTTTCTTTCAGACGCGTCTCCGCTGAAAGGGGAAGAGCATCGCAATGAGCAGTGAAAATTGTTCCGGAAACGACCAGCGCCGGGCCAAGGGACGCCAGCGGGCCCCCCGCCCACCTGCAGCGCCTGAGCGTGGGGCCCCCTCGCAGGCTGGCCCTCCCGCGCGTCCCCGCCCGGCCCACCGCACGCACCCCCTGAGCGTCGGGACGCTCTTCTCCTCCGCTGCAGGGCCCTGAGGCTGGCACTTGGTGTCCCGCTTGCTGTGAGGGTCCCTGGCGGCAGTGGCGACGTCTGCCTTGAGGTCCCGCACCAGGTTATAACCCACAGCGGCGTAGCGGGCCTTGAGACCATTCTTCTCAGCCCCGTGGTCCCCGTGGAAGTCGACCTTCTTGTTGGTGTTCTTGATCTGCGTGGCCCCGATGACACTGACGGCAACGTCCTTCTCCCGCTGGCGGCTGGCCAGGTTGTTCATGGTCTCTGTCTCCGCAGCGGGCCGGGCCTTGTGCAGCCGCAGCCGCACGCAGACCACCACGGCGGCACAGCCCAGCAGCAGCACCAGCACCAGCACCACGCCGGCGCCCACGGCCGCCCAGGGGAAGGGCCCGGCCTGGCCCTCCACGTACTTCTCGGTGAGATCTACCACCACAGGGCCTGGCACAGGCTCAGGCAGCAGGAACTGGCAGTTGGGGCCCCCGTAGCCCCGGGCACACTCACACAGGTAGCGCCGGTCCCTCTCGTGGCAGGTGGCCCCGTTGTGGCAGGGCGCATGCTCACACCTACTGACAGGGACACTGCAGTTCCTGCCTGTGTAACCGGGGGGACAGACGCACGAGTACTCATTCGGGCCATCGTGGCAGCTGCCCCCATTGGCACACGGGGAGGAGGCACAATCGTCCACGTTGTCCTCGCAGTGCCTCCCGGAGAAGCCAGGCTGGCAGCGGCACAGGTAGGAGTCCCCGAGGCCCACGCACTGCGCACCTGGAACACAGAACACACCGGTGTCTGCCCCCGCGCTACCCCCAGAGACGCGAGACAGGCCAGCCAGCCCGCAGCCCGAACCAGCTGCTGGCTACTTGGGACCCAGGCCCCAGGGCAGGAGTCTGGTCTAGCTTGGTATACTGGGAGTCGGACGACTCGTGGGTCTGGAGCGGTCGTGTTTCGGCAGGTGCCATGCACAACACACACTCACCTTCACAGCAGCCCACAAGGGGCCCAGGTGGCAGTTGAGTAAATGGAGCCTGAGTGAGGCCACGTGCTTGCCCTTGGCTCCACAGTTAGTGAGAAGAGCGGGGTTGGAAACAGAGAGGAAAAGGAAGAAAGGAAGGAGGGGGAGAGACCTCTGTCCTTCCCAAGCCAAATCACTAACCCTCCAGCTAATCTGCCTCTCACGGTAAAGCCTCCAGTATTTCTGGTGGTTCCACGGATAGAAACCGACAGGAGGCAAAGCTCGGCCCCACAAGATGGCCACACCTTCCGGACAGCAGGTAGAAGGCAAAGGAACCATGATTGTTCTCCATCAGTTATCGTGGCCCGGCCTGTCTGGGGCCCAGCTTCGCTCCTCTACCCACTCGCGCAGCAGTGGGGGGCCCGCCAGCAGACCACACTTCCGCACACACAGACACACCAGACGGCGATGTTTGGGTGACAGAGCCAAGCCGGGCTTCCCTCCAGAGACAGGGTGGCTGGGTTGCCATCGGAGCGCGATGCACTGCGTTACAGCCTGGACCCGAGCCCCTGAGGTACTGTGTGACCTTGGGCAGCCCTCTCACCTCTCGCCTCAGGCTCTCCCCGCAGAACGTGAGAGTCCACACTCCTGTCTGCCCTCCTTGATCCCTGAGCATTTCCAGACTCACGGATACAATCTCTGTGAAGGGTTTCTGACTGTTTAGTGGAAAGGCTCCATAAACTCAGGGTAGCAACATGCCATGCTTGGGTTAAAATTAAACACATGTGCTTTCTAATGCATTCTTATCAGTGTTGAGCACTCGCCCAAGTCCCCGAGGGGACAGGGCTGCCCTCCTACCATTAGAGCAGGGTGAAGAGCTGCAGGAATCCACCTTCTTCTCACAGTTAAAGCCAGAGAAGCCCCCAGGGCAGCGACAGGTGTAGCCTCCCTCGGGGTTATCCGAGCACCGGCCCCCATTGAAGCAGGGGCCGTCGGCACACGCCATGGCGCTTAGCTCGCAGATTCGACCGTAGAAGCCCGGCGGGCAGGTGCAAGTGTAGCTGTTCTCAAGATCCTGTGTCGTGCAGAAGAGACAGCGCTCACGCCTGGCTCCCAAAGACCCACGCCGCGCGGAGCTAACCCAGGCCCCATTCAGCAGGAGGAGCTGCTGTGGCCGGACTCACCGTGCAGCTGCCTCCGTTCCTGCAGGGGCTGGTGCTGCACTCATCGATCTCCGCCTCACAGTCGGCCCCCGAGTAACCCGGCCGACAAGAGCAGGTGTAGCTCCCCTGGCCCGTGTTGGTGCACGTGGCCCCATTCCTGCAGGGCTTGTGGTGTGTGCAGTAGTTCAGGTCTGCGAGGGGAAAAGACGGGAGGTTGGGGCTACACTTGGAGTCCTCAGTAAGGCCGGGAAGCCCGGGGCTGCTGCGTGGGGGGGGGGCTCACCCTGGTTGCAGAAGAGGCCGCCCCAGCCCTCCTGGCAGTTACACTGCCATGGCTGCTGGCAGGTGCCGTGGAGACAGCCTGGGTACCGAATGCACTGGTCACAGTAGCGGCCCTGCCAGCCCACTCTGCACCTAGGACAAGAGCAGCACAGTCAGGCGGGAACGGGCGTCCCTGGGCTCCCGGACACACACCACCGACTTGCGAGACACGGTCTTGCAGCAGCACCAACCCCGCTGGCTCGCAAACAAGGCACAACACTGGTGTCTCCCTGGGAGTTTTCTAACACACCAAAGCCTCAAAAGGTCTGACTTCGGGGCATGAGGGCCACTGGGACTGTGTTTTTACAGACTCCTCAGGTGGTCCTAATATGCCAAAATGTTTGAGATTCCCTGACGTAGACCCATTTTCTATGTCGATTCCTTGCCAAGAAATCTGTAAGTTCCCATACCCACTGAGGCACTTAGGAGACTGACAACCACGACCCTACATGTTCTATACACTTACTAAGGAGAAACAACAGAATAACGGTCAGCTGATCCTACCAGAGTTTTTCAAATGAACACCTAGTGCTACTTTACAAATACACTAGGTGTAAAAGGGTAACCAGGAAAGGGAAAAAGCACTTTTGCAGACTTACTTGCACTCCCCTGGCTTGTCACAAAACCCATGCTGCTCATCACATCCTGGCAAGCAGATCGCTACAAGCAAAGAGAACACACAGGGTCAAGCCCCACCCCAAGTGCCCCCCAGCATCACGGGGGCTACCACCCCACATGGGGGACACCAAACTTGTCCTGCTCCACTGGCGACCCCAGCTGAGCTCCTCCCATCTGTGGGGGACTGCAGGTCTTGCCCAGTAACGGAGGACTCGCTCAGCCCCAGGGCCAGCATTCTTCTTAACGCAGTGGCTCCAGCACAAAAGGGCACGGAAGCCCCCACCCCCACCCCATCCCCTTTTCTTCTGAGAGGGTCAGAAGTCCTTCCCCCTCCTCCTCCCCCACTTCCCAATTCTCTGCACAAAGCTCCACCTCGTAATACCCAGAAAGTGTGTGTGTAGATAAGGGTGGACAGCTGGTGTGCAGAGCACCAGGGCAGGACAGCTGCTCTATTGTCTCTGCTCCCCAGCAGCTGCCCGCGCAACAATACTGCCTCCCCCGCCCCTCGCCCCCCCCGCGTGCATACACACACATACACACACACACACACACACACAGAAGTGCGCGCACGCGCACACACACACACACACACACACGAACGCGCGTGCCCGTGCACGCCCTTCCCACCAATGGGAGCCGGTGTGAGTTTCTGCCTCCTATCCCCAGAGAGATCTAATCGATGGCACGCGCTAGCTGGGGGCGGGGAGAGACTCCAGTGTTTGAATAAGAAGAAAAAAGTTTAAGTTTCGGCTACCCTGCAGTGAAGAAGAGGAGGGAGGGGAGCAGGGATGCGACGCAGCAGGCAGGAGGTCCCCGCGGGGTGGGCACTGAGGCTGAGCAGGCTGCCTTCACTGGCTTACAAACCCGCAAGCGTAGAAGGCAACACTGCCGGCTGTGGCCCGGGCGGAGCTCAGACAAGGCCTCTGAGGCTGTGAAGACCTATCCTCAGCCCCAGGCAGCGATCAAAACCGGGAACCACACCTCCCAGGCAAGGGGTTCTGGGCCTACCAAGGAGGGCTGGAGGGTCACCGGCTACGGGAGCACAAGGAAAAGCCCCACGGCTTTCTGGCTACCTCCAGAGCCCCCTGTACCCCTGACGGGAGGGGAGCCTGACACAGGGGTGTGTGACGCCTCCACAGGCGGGAGAGAGGCCTACAAGCTGAACTGGGCCCGGGGCCCACGCGAGCCTCCTGCCCTCCAAGGCCTGGCTTCCTGCACCCGGGCAGCCCTTGACTGCCTGGAGAACGCCGGGCAGTGGGGCAGGCGCGGCCCACTCATGTCTGTGAAGGTATTTCTTTGCCAGGCAGGGAGCTGCGCAAGCAGCACACAAGCCGGTGGGCCCCTACCCCCCAGCCCCCACAGACCCAGGCCTCAACACACATTCTCTCTTGTCCACAGACCCCACGAGTGAAAACGTCATGAATGACGTGTGTGTGGGTCACACGGAATGTCTGCAAACACGCTCACTCTGCGAAGAGGCCCCGCACACCAGCTCTGGAGAGAAACAAGCGCTGTCACAGCAAGGAGAACCGGGTGAAGCCCGCCTACACACACAAGCTCTCCTCTCTGGTCCTCCCTTCCTTCCTCCCCTCCCTCTCCCTTGGGCTTACTTCCTGACCCCTGGCCCCGACTCCAAAATCCTCCCTGATTAAGAAAGGCAGCTTCCCATAGCGGAAGTGAAAATGTCTGGGCTGACCCCAGCCCTGCCACTGGCTAGCTGTGAGGTCTTAGCAAGTTTCTCCAGCTCTCTGGCCTCGGTTTCCCCACCAGAGCTCTCCTCCAGTGCTGAAATCCCAGGATCCCCCGGGCTCACAGAACATTCCCCTGCTCCCTGGGAGCTCGGCCTGGACGTGGATCAGGGAGGGAAGCAGGAACTCACGTTCGGTGCAATACTGGCCTTTCCAGCCAGGGTTGCAGACTTTTTCCCCTCTCTCCCCACAGGTGAAGTGGCCAAAAGCATCATCGCGGGGTCGACAGAAGACAGAGCAGCCCTCCCCGTAGTAATGTTCATCACACACGAAGCGGTAGGAGTACTTGAGGTCTGTTCGACCGCTGCTGTGCAGGTCCTGAGACCACTCCTCGCCCACCGTCAGGTGCCTCTGTGTGGCCAGACGGCTGATGAGTCTTTCTGGGTTTTCTGTAGGGAGAGGAGGCCGCCATGGGTTCTGACTGAGAGCACAGGGGCTTGGGGCCCTGGGGGAGCTGGGACTGCATGAACCGTAAGGGGCCAGAGGTCCTCTGTCCTGACCAGTAGGCAGGAACTCGCAGAGTGAGGGTCTACAGGAGCTTGTTTCTGGTGGAGACATGGAATCAAATACACACCAACTGGGGAAGCAGTTCACTCAGTTTTGGGGTCTGGGGCTTGTTTTTACCTGTTGTGAGGTCATCAGGAGAATCTGTGTGGAGAGCTTCAATGATCAGGGAAAAGGTGCCCTGGAAGAAAGGGGGAGGAGACCTCAGCTAAAGCAGAAATGTTAGAAAACAAAGCCCAAACCCAGGCACTGGGGACAACCAAGCCACTAAGGGTCTCCCTGGCAGATCCATTGGAGAGGGCGGTGGGGTGCTGTACAGCTCTTGTCTGTTTTCACTTTCCTTAAGGAAATGGGAGAACTTTTTAAAGAGTGGTTTCCTGACGTGTTTTTTCAGCCTGTTAGTACAGGATATCACGTTTAAAAGAAAGAAAAGAAAAAAGAAAAGAAAAGAAAAGAAAAGAAAAGAAAAGAAAAGAAAAGAAGAAGCGAAGCCCCGCAGGAGCACAGGTCTGGAGGGGGTAGTCATCGGGCGGGGGTGGGGGGCTGCACAGAGAGGGCCAGGGGCTGTCACGCTACCAGGGTAGCTCGACACCCAACCAGTCTAGGCTCAAGAACACTCGCCCGCGGGAAGGCGCTCACGGACCGGGGCTCCGTACCGGGGCCAGACCCCGGCACGTCCCGGGTCCCGCGCCTCGCCGCACCCCGGCTGTCACTGCCCGGCCGCCTAGGGGGCACTCCGGGCGCGCGGGCGAGGCTCGGGGCCCGGCCCCCTCCGCCGCCGCCCCGCACACCCCTCCTGCGCCCCTCCCGCCCCCGGCCCGGGCCGCGCGGAGGCTGCGCTCACCGGCCAGGTGAAGCCGAAGGGGAAGCGGATGGGGTTGCTGAAGGCGGGGTCGGCGCCGGCGCCGTCGGGCAGGCTGAAGGAGTCGACGCCCAGCACCGGCGTGACCGCGCTGCCGTAGGTGCAGGGCGGCTCGGGGGACACGCTGGCCTGGTAGTGCTTGAGGCACACGCGGAAGAAGGTCCTGCAGGCGCACGGCGGCGGCCCCGCGCCCCCGCGGCAGCAGTTGCGGTTTCCCAGCAGCCCCTTCTTGTTGACGAACTCCTGCAGCTTCAGCTCGAACACCCCGGAGCTGCAGACCTGCGGGGACGGGCGCGGGCGTGAGGGCGCGCGGAGCCGGCTGACCGCGGGCGGCGCCGGCCCCGCTCTCCGCCGCTCCGTCCGCGCGCGGCCTGCGCCCCGGGTCCCCGCCGGGGTCCCCCCCGCGGACGACCCACCTGCCGCCGGGCCGCGCGGACCCCGAGCTCACGACTCACCTGGCACAGCAGGGCTGACAGCACGGCGAGGGCGAGGGCGAGGGCGCACCGGCGGCCCATGGTGCCGCGCCGGACTCGCTCGGCCGGCCGCGCCCCCCGTTCCCGTCCCGAAGCCGCAGGGAGTGCGCGGGGGTGGCCGTGCCCCGAGCGGCGCGGGCAGAAAAGCGCCGCCGCTCGGCCCCAGGCTGGGGTGACCGGGACTTCTTTCTTCGGGAGCTCGGTCCCTTCCCAGGCCGCGGTTCCGCGGATCCGCCCTTCGGGGGCGACGGCAGCTCGGGATGCACGAGAAAGAGCTCGGGGAGGCGGCTCGTGCGGCCGCAACTTTCGGTTTTCCTCCGCCTCCTTCCGACCCGCGAGTGGGTGAGGGTCCTCCGCTTCCTGGTTTTGTCTCAAGCTTCTTTGAAGGAAGAAAAAAGAGGGAGAGCGAGAGCGTCCAGATACTCGGCTTAATTCCCAGAGAGCGGCCGACGCTTCCTCCGAGTCCGATTAGAAACCCGCGGTCTGCAAATCCCACGCGCGAGGCGACAATCCCGGGGCCCCGGCGGAGCGCGCGCAGGGACGCCCGGCGGCGGCGGGGGTGCGCGGCGCGCCCCGCGGCTCGGGCCCGTGTCACTCGGCGGCGGCGGTCGTTCCCGGAGCGCCCTGAACTCGTGTCCCCTGCGCCCCCGCGGAGACACGCGTCTTCCCGAAGAACCCAGCCGGTGCCATCCACGTCAACAGCGCGGGGTCCGAGCGCAGGGCGGCGGGTGGCGGGCGGAGGCGCTGCGCCACGGCGACGCGTCCTCTGCGCGCCCGGGCCGGCCGCTCTCCGCGGGTGCGCGCCGAGGTCTGCGCTCGCCGGCGCCGGCTGCCCTTATATCCCGCCGGCCGCCCGCATGGCTAATGAGATGCAAATAAGCAGCCCCCCAATCTGGCGAGAGCTGTCACAAAGGAGCCACTTTTCCAAACCCTCCTCTCAATGGATCGCCAAATGGTCAGTGAGCTGTAAAATGTGCAACCTCCTCCCCGCCCCCACACCTCCCCGCCCCCGGCCCTCCTCTGCCCCCGCCCCCAGCCCCCCGCCTTCCTCCACACCACACAAAACGCGCTCATTTACATTCCTGCAAAATGTTCGCCGCGAGAGTCCTCTCTGCTCCCGAGGCGGGGGCCGCGGCTCCGGCCCCTTGGCTCTCCCGCCGGCCACAGGCCCGCGGAGGCCCGCGGGGACACGCGGGGACGCGCGGGGACGCGCGGGGGCGGCGCGGCGCCTCCAGCCCTGCCGAGTGCAGCCGGCCTGGAGCGGCCGGACGCGGCCTGGGAAACTCTCGGGGCCGCCGTGGCGTCCGCCCGCCGTCTCCCTGCGCGGGCCGTGTCCCGGGGTCTGGGGCCCCGGGGCCGCTCCTTCTCCAGGGCAGCCCCTTCCTCCGGAGGAGCCTGGGGGGGAGGTGGGGGGGCGGGGGCCGGGGGCTCGGTAGGAAGGGGGCGGGCGCGAGGAGAAAAGGGCAGAGGGCGGCGAGCGCAGCGGCAGTTTGGGGAAGTTTGGGAAGGTCCGACACCGACCAGCCACCGGCCGAGGACGGCGGCTCTGCGTCCGGGAGCGCAAAGCCAGCATGCAGGGCAGGGCTGGGGGCGAGCGCGGCGCCCCCGGGAACCCCGGAGTCCGCGCGCCCACGGTGTCCCTGCGCCAGTCCGAGGCCGCTGGTGGGGGCGGGGTCTGGGGAGCGATTCCTCCCCACCCCGGGCCGCCAGGGAGATCCCAGCTAGTGCCCCCACCCCACCCCGCGTACACACACGCGCGCGCGCGCGCGGGCGCGCGCGCACACACACATGTCCTTCCCGGAGCGATTCTCGGCCACCACCACCTTTCCTGGGTGTCCAGCCCCTCTCTCCTGGGTATTCCCCCCTCGGCCTCCCTCCGCTTGGTAAAAAGTGAGTTTGGTGTGTGTCGTTCGCGTGGCTGTCATTAAGGCACTCTGTTATTGTGCAAGGCTGAATCAGTGGTTCTTTGTGCGCTCAGCTGTATGGTAATGCAGACCGCACCTGCTCCCCGCACAATGCCGAGAGAAAGAGCTCCCCTCCGCGCGCGCCGCGGCCTCTGCAACACTGTCCCGCACATGTTCTAAAGACCCTCCAGCCCAGCCCCCCCCGACCCGAAATCTTTACACAGCCATCACCTTATTAGGTTTTTACACGTCCATCAGACACTAGAACTTTTGTTTTCATTTTTTTAAAGGGAAATGAGTTTATTGGGAGGGCCGAGAACACACGTATCACACAATGAATTATCTAAATTGCTCTCATGCTTTTGGGCTCAATGCAGAATAAGGTGGGGCGTAGACTCCTAGTCCGGCATCCAGCTTTAGGCTGGGCACACTTCGAGGTCTCTTTCCCAACCCTGTCTGCTCCTCCTCAGCCTCCCCCAACACCACCTAGGGCAGCTTCATTAGGATGGAAGGTGTGACTGTTGGAGTAAATGTCACTCCGCTGGTGGCACAGCCCCAGGGTGCCTGGGTACAATGGCCTCGTCCCTGGTGTGCTATAGCCCCCTTATGGGTGGGACCTGGCACTGTCCCAGCAAAATGGGATTTTCATTGCGGCAGGTGTGGAGATCACACAGCATCACGCCCTGCACAGGGAGAGGGAAATACCAAGTAAAACCCTGCAAACAGCAATCTCAGAATTGCTTGCTGAAGTCACCTACGACCATCCCTCTGGCTGTTAGGCAACAAGACCCTTGATTCCTTGGCTCACAAACACCTGTAGTTTCTGGATTGACAGGTCTGTACACTTCAGGTTTTCCACCGCTGCATCATCATAGAGAAGCAAAGAATTAGTCGGAAGTCATGTGCAGGGTGAGGTGAGAAAGGCAGGCTTGGACTCCAGCAGAACCCCTACTGTCTGGTTCAGAACAAATGGAGACTTCAAAGGTACTGCCCCCCCACCCCAGGATGGTAGCAATCCCAGTTTGGTCACCCTTTGCGGACTTTGTACGGAGGTGCTACCTCCCCACCGGGCTGGGTCAGCATGAATCCTAATTTAGTCTTGCCACCTAGTGTCAGCATCCTTTTTCCACTACATCCATGTTTCCTCTGAAAACCAATTTCTGAGAACTTTGCTCTCTCCAGCACAGAAGCTGGGGTGTGTGTGTGTGTGAGAGAGAGAGAGAGAGAGAGATGGGGGAGAGAGAAGGGGGGAGGTGAGAGGGTTCCAGGAGCAGGGGAGCCACAAAAGCAGAAAGGAATGTGAGCTGTAAATCCTCTGTGCCTCTGAGACCAAGAGTAGATTTCAGTAAGAAATGAAATTTCAGGAACCTTTTAATTAGAAAATGGAAGTGGGAAACAGTCTCATGTGAATGCCTGTTTAGAAAACTGGAAATAAAAAGTTCCACGCGCGAGGGCTTAAACCTTGGGGGGAAAAGACTTGCCCCAAATCTTTAACAAACCCCCCTCAGTATCAAGTATTTGTTCAACTGACGTGGCACAGATTTCTCGATTACAGCGGCAAAGCGGAACTGAAAGGCATCGTAAAATCCATCAGAATCCTTCCCAAAGCGCTCATTCTTTTCCAACTTAATTTATGCCACGCGATTCTGTATTGGGGAAATCAAGCAGAAAGCCCTTTTCTTCTCCTTCCTCCTCCTCCTGTTCTTTCCTCTTCTTTCCTCCTCCTCCCCGTCATCCTTCTCCTTCTCCTCTCCTCCTCCTCCTTCTCTCTCTCTCTCTCTCTCTCCCTCTCTCTCCCTCTTCCCCACCTCACGCTGGTCCCTCTCCCCCTCTCCCTTTCAAAGCTGAGCTAACGGGAGACTGTTTAACTTCTGTGTTTCTGTAGGGGCCTGTTGTAGTTTAACTCCTGCACACCAGTAGCTGAGATGAACAAAGGAGAGACTCGAGGTCCAACTATTCATCCTTTCTTTGCACTTTAATTTTCATTGATTGGGAAGACAAGGGGAGCCCTTAGGGATTCAGGCTGAAGGGGGATGACACGCCTTTAGACGCCATCAGCCCCCTAGCCAGCCATCTGCTCCGAACCAAATGGCGTTTTTTCACTCCCTAACTGCATGTCTCTATACTCCTGCAAAGAAGCACTCTGAACCCCTAAATACAGGAGGCGCTCAAGCTGGGGTGTGGTAAAAGGCCGGCCTCCACATGGGCCCTGGCAGCCAGAGTCCCCCCTCCCTGCACACCATAAATCCTACCTTGCTCATTAGGAAAAAGCAGGAAACTTTCTTTTAAATACTTTTTGATTTCTCAGCAAATTTACTGTACAAAGTGAGGTTCAATTAGGCCTTAGAAGGCACCCAATCCATCAGACGCAGGAGAGGACAGAGAGATTTGCCGCCTGGTGGTGGTGGTTTATTTTGGCCAGGCACGGGTAGCTCAGAGCCTTCATAACCCCAGGCGCTAGGTACGCTCAGGTCGTATGACCATCAGAACTGTACCTACAACAGCTGCTGCTGAGTTCTGTTTACTGGAGACCCTGATTATTTTCCCCACCATTTTATTGGGCCACATGGGAATAAGAGCTCACAGCCATCATTTTATAAAATTAAATATGCCCATCTTCAATCGTGGTGAGGCCAAGTGCTGTGGTCACTCAAACCTGATTCAATCCCCTTTGCCCAAAGAAAGGTTCTATTCTGAAGGTGTGTGTGTGGTGGGTGTTGTGGGTAGAGGGAGGAGGGTCAGGGCACATTGCAAAAAACAATGCCCAGAATAGGCTGCTGACTGGGCCGCAGGTTTAGTTTTCTGTGTAAACAAGTCTGGAGACGAGAGTGGTGTTTGTGTTTTCTTAGACCAACTGAATTAGGTATACCCAACAGAGAGGTTCTCTTATTCCTAAGAAGAATTAAGGTCCTTCTTCTGAACAACAAAATAAAAAACTTCTAAGCAGCAAATCTGGTGTTGATCAAACAGCCAGGTTACCTGAAGAAGAAGTGGGGGTGGGGGCTAAAACATGTTTATTAATCAGTGTCACACCCCCCACCAGTGCGTCCCATCTCCCACCCCTTCTCCATCAGTCGCAGCTTGGGAATTTTTTTTTTTTTTTAACCATACAATGCTACTACAGTACCATTGACTGTATCCCCTGTGCTGTACCTGTCATTCCCCCGACTTACTCCACAACCTCCCACAGCAGTTTGGGAATCCCAAAGCTGTTAAAATCCCAGGGGAATTGACTGGAGGCTTGTCACTACAGGGAGCCCTCTGGGAGTCTACAGCCGCCCTCCGCATGGTGTAGCTACTCTGGATATTTACTTCTCATTTCTTAAGCTGTCTCAGGGACTGCATCCCAGGGATCCGTGCACATTCACAAGATGCACACTCACCCCAGTGTCTACAGATTTGTTTAGACTTGAGGGAGCTA